CCTACGTCTACAACGACCTTGATGCTCTGATCTGCAAGGAAGCTGGTGATCCAATTGCACAATTTCTCGGGAAGCCCATAGGAAGGGAGCTTCGAAAGAAGCGCTTTGTGCCAAACTCGATCGAAAGCCTTCGCAATGTCCAGACTAACGGCCAACGCCTCCCCCTTGGACTCTACTGCCTCCGCCCATCTATGGGTCAGGTAGACCAGAAGATCACCAGCTGATCGACCCCGACGAAAACCGTATTGGCGGTCACTAATCAGCTGGTGATCCTCAAGGTACCGGATGAGCTGGCAGTTAATAATGGATTCCATTATTTTGGAGAACAAGGAGGTGATCGCGATAGGCCTATAGTTGGATGGGTCTGAGCGGTCGCCTTTTTAAGGGATCGGGTGGACAAAAGCTGTCTTCCATGAGTTCGGGACTACGCCTTGGGAGTAGGAGTACCGGAAAAGATGCGTTAGGACCGGTGCCAACTCCGGAGCACACGTCCTCAGCACAATTGGGGGGATTCCGTCAGGCCCACTCGACTTCTGGATGTCCAGGGAGAGCAGTGCTTTGCGAACCGAGCGCTGTGAGAACAGCACATCCGGCATGGAGCACTCACACCGCGGGATGGTCGGCGGTGTTTTCCCCCCGTCATCAAGAGTCGAGTTGGACGCAAAAAGGGAGCCTAAAAGGTCGGCTTTGTCTTTTGCATCATGGGCCAGTGAGTCATCCTCCCTGTGCAGAGATGGTAGTGATGGCTTACAGAAATTCCCTTGGACAGCCTTGGCGAGAGACCAGAATGCACGGGTTCCCGAAGGAAGGCGAACTAGTTTCTCGCCAATTCTGCCTATTTGCTCTGACTTTGCCTTGGCAATAACTCTTTTGAAGGACCTGGAGGCGAAGTTATACTTCTTTTTAAGTGTGCTGGTGTTTACATCCCGAGTCGCCGAAGCCGCAGCCCAGGCTTGATAACACTCCTGCTTACTGCGTAATGCAGTCTTACAGGAGCGATCAAACCAAGGCTGAGATCTGCCTCCGATGGGTACCACAGATGATGGAATAAATAGTTCCATTCCCTGTAGCACCACATCAGTGACAGAGTCAGCAACAGCACTGGGATCGTCCGGCGAGAAGCAAACCCGCCCCCATGGGTAGAATGCAAAGAAAGACCGCATTCCGTCCCAATCCGCCGACCTGTAATGCCAAACACGGCGGCAACCTACAGAACGCAACCGCGAAGAGAGCGTGAGTGGCACCACACTCCAGATCAGACAATGGTCCGAAGAGCCGAGAGGGGCATCGACGGAAACCTGATATCCGTCCGGATGAGAGGTCAGCAGAAGGTCCAACAGGGAAGGTGTATGATCCTCCACATCTGGAATCCGCGTTATGTTGCTAAGATATGTTGCTAACTGGTAACATTCATTGCTATGCGGATGACAGCACTGGTGATGCTCTATACACCGGCCGTGCCAATATTTCTCGGGAAAACGTCGCTGAGTACCGAAACAAACTTGTGTCTGAAGTCGAGTCTTTGCTGAGCAAAGTCTCGGATTGGGGGCGACTAAATCTAGTCCAGTTTAATCCTCAGAAGACACAAGTTTGCGCGTTTACCGCTAAAAAGAACCCCTTTGTCGTATCTCCTCAGTTTCAAGGCACTCCCCTTCTTGCCTCAGCCAGTATCGGTATCCTCGGAGTCGACATATCGAGTGACGTGCAGTTTCGTGGTCACTTGGAAGGGAAGGCCAAATTGGCCTCTAAAAAGCTTGGCGTGCTCAGCAGAGCGGGACAGTATTTCATGCCGGCACACCGCCTGCAACTTTACAAGGCGCAAGTTCGGCCTCACTTGGAATACTGTTCCCATCTCTGGGCAGGGGCTCCCCAGTGCCAGCTCCTTCCACTTGACCGCATCCAACGCAGAGCTGCTCGAATCGTCGACGACCGAGCCCTTTCCGATCGGCTCGATTCATTGGCACTGCGAAGAGATGTTGCATTCCTTTGCATTTTCTTTCGCATCTACCATGGGGAGTGCTCTGAGGAATTGTTCGGATTAATCCCAGCCGCCAAATTTCACGAACGCACATCGCGGCGGAACTCCCGATACCATCCATACCATCTGGATGATTGGCGGTCCACCACTGTGCGATTTAGAAGATGTTTTCTTCCTCGCACGACCTCCTTGTGGAATCGATTACCATCAGCGATTTTTCCGGACCGATACGACTTAGGGACCTTCAAGAAAAGAGCGTACTCCTTTTTAAAAGGCCGGCAACGCATCTGCGATTCCCCTGGTGTTGCAGTTGTTCATGGGCGGCGGTAGTCACTTACCATCAGGTGAGCCGCATGCTCGTTTGCCCCCTCTCTTATATAAAAAAAAAGCCCCCCTTTGTAAACTCGCGTCCCTAGGCACGTGCCTAGGTTGCCTTAAGGATAATCCGCCACTGAGGGTGATAGTCAAGAGGCTAAAAGCTCTAAAATTGTCGGGTTATAAACCTTTAGTATTATAGCTTTTTTGAAGCACTTTTTGGAGGCGATTTTTTTTATAGGAGAGGGGGCAAACGAGCATACGGCGCACCTAATGGTAAGTGACTACCGCCGCCCATGAACAAATGCAACACCAGGGGAATTGCAGGTGCGTTACCGACCTTTTAAAAAGGAGTAAGCTCTTTTCTTGAAGGTCCCTAAGTCGTATCGGAAAAATCGCCGGTGGTAAACTATTCGATAGAGAGGTCGTACGCGGAAGAAAACTCCTAGTGAAACGTACAGTGGTGGACAGCCAAGCAGATGGTGTGGATGGTGTCGGGAGTTTGACGCGATTTGCGTTCGTAAAATTTGGCGGCTGCGATTAATCCGAACAATTCCTCAGACCACTACCCGTGGTAAATGCGAAAGATAATGCAAAGAGATGCAACATCTCTTCGCAGCGCCAGTGGATCGAGCCGATCGGAAAGCACTCGGTCGTCGACGATTCGAACCGTTCTGCCCTGGATGCGGTCAAGTGGAAGGGGCTGGCACTGGAGAGTCCCCCTAAGAGAGAATTAAATGTAAGACTACCCCAGGAGGGTAACTCCTGTGGTAGTCTTACATTTAATTCCGCTACCATGTTGATGGGGGGAGAGGGGAATTGGGCCTCCGGCCACCTGCACTCACCAAACGAAACCCCGGCTCTAGCCGGCCCATACGTGTACAAAAGCTGCCGCGTGGCTCTACCACTGTTAAAGATTGTAAGATGGCAATAATATAACAATAGGTATCAGATAACTAGAACCTAAAAATTTAAAGGCGTCTTCCTTAGTCAGACATGGATAACGATCTAATCTGCATCATCTGAAAAAACATAGTGATAGACTTTTCAAGTGACAACCACGTGGTGATGAATCTTATTCATTCATATATCCATAAGAAGTTCAAACACTACCAAATTTTTCTTTTTAAACCTCGACGCAAACAGAGATACCTTTAACGTGTGTTTCTGTGTCTGTCTGTGGCACCGTAGCTCTCAAACGGATGAACCGATTTAGTTTTAGTTCTTATTGTTTGAAAGGTGACTTGATCGAGAGTGTTCTTAACTACAAGGTATGACTCAAGAAAATCTGTTCAGCATTTTTAAGATCATCAGCTCTTTTTCTTTTTTTTTCTAGCGTGTGTCTGTGTGTCTGTCTGTGGCATGATATCTCCCGAACGGGTGAACCAATTTTTTATTAAGTTTTTTTTCGTTTGAAAGGCGTCTTAATCGAGACTATTCTTAGCTACGAGTATGTTTCAAGAAAATCTGTTCAGCCTTTTTAAGATCATCAGCTCTTTTTCTTTCGGAGTTTTTTAAGTTATGTTTTGGGGGATTTTTTAATTTTTAATGATAATAAGCTGGTTCTTTTCTCGCTCAAAGGCTAAGTATAGCCATTCAGCGGGGAAACTCAGCCAGCGTTCTTGGCACCATACCGCGGGGAGTAGGACTATATGATAATTAAGTTTCTAGTTTTAGTTTTTTTTTTTTATTATTATTATAGTTTCTAATATTGTATATAATAAAATATTGTATATTTAAGTTATTATAGTATAAATAATCAGCAATCGCGTTTACGACTACTGGACCAACGAGTCAGACAAAACGTGTAGGTTATAAGTACAAAGCGATGGTAGCTTAATGATTAAAGGTACGAACTACGAAACTTAAAGTTCGTGGCTTCAAATCCACCCTTCGATACTGTCGTGAATCACTTCTAATTCTAACCACCTAATACAAGCATTTTAGACATACTTGGAGTGGTTAATAACTTATAACTTAAATTTTAAAAACCCTCTGAAACAAAAACAACGGATGATCTTCAAACGGCTGAACCGATTTTGATAAAATATGTCTAAGAACTACCGCTAGAAAACCTGCTTTTAAATTTAAAAAAAAACGCACCCAAATCGGTTCACCTGTTAAAGAGCTACGGTGCCACAGACAGCCAGACAGACATACACACATAGCAGTCCAACATATAACACCCCTCTTTTTGCGTCGAAGGTTAAAAAAATAATTTGTGCATAGGATAGACCTGCCTGTAGGGGAGACCGGGTACAAAAGTAACATTTTGTACTTTTACCTTGGTTTCTGGTTAGGTGTAATTATTTTAATGAAGTTAATATAGCCATATATATATTCCGTTAATGTTCTTTATATTAGTATCTTGATTTATCTTATTATTGTGTATTTTATATGAATCACAGAGACTTCAAAAAAACTCGTCACTTGTTACTTTCGACCACGTAGGCAGGTCGAAAGTAACACGTCGTGGGTCGAAAGTAACAGGAGAAAGGGGTTTGTAATGAATATAATGTGACAACAAATTATTTATTAGAAGACTTTGTATTAATAACACAGATAAACAAAAAATATATATTTTAAGAAAACAAAACAAATTATTCTTACTTTAAGTAATGAGATCAATGTATCTGTGATCTGATTATAAAAAAATGGTATCATTTTTTTATAATCAGATCATTAAGTATTAGTCTTTTACTCAGACTCACTCACAATTATGGCACACATAATTTGCATCATCGTTGATGCATTCAGCATGTGACCACATTTTACATTTGGTACATTGCATCCATTGCTCATTTGGTCGACTGTTGCTAAAAGTGTCTAAGCAAACAAGACAAAAGCAATCTTCGTCGTCAGATTTATTTTCCTTGCCTTTAGCTGCCTTCTTTGTCTTTTTTCCTTTTCCCTTCCCTTTCTTAGACATCAAGTTCCTCTTCCAATTTCCAGTATCGGTTTGTAAAACCGTTTTCTTGGCTTTATTTCTTTGTTGATATTCTTCTTCAATGACGTTTTTTTCAGGCGTGTCCGTCAAAATTGCTGTTTTACGTTTTTTACATCCTTTATTTGCTACAGTCCTTGGACCCGCTTGTGGTAAGGGTCTAAGATCTTTAGGTGTAAAATCAAACGGCTGAGAAGAATTTGCTTGCTGTAGCCCGCTAGGTCCTGGTATTGGCGAGTTGGATCTTTGATTGTATGATTTCTTTGACAAATCATTGTTAATTTTACGCTAGACAGTCTGGTCACTCAATGTTGGAAGATTATCAACTAGAGTCTCCGGATCCACTTGGATGGAGGATGTTGCATCAAAACTGATCAACAGATCATTTGGTGGAATTTCACTGTCAACTTGTAAAGACCGGTCAGTGACAGATGATGGTTCATAGTCAACAGCCGTAAATATATTCCTATTAAATGGACTAATACCGGTACAGGTAAATCCAGCAATTGCGTTTCGATCAGTTACAGAAAGAGGAAATGTTTCTCTAACAATACCAGGAATGTAATGGATAGTCATTGTTCGACCAGGATGATTCCGCATCCAGTTGTCTGTAACGGTGTTTATCATTTTTTTGAATGGTCCAAATACTGCTCTATCTAAAGGCTGAAGCTTGTGCGTGCAATGTGGTGGAAATGACAGCAGTACTATTCCGTTTTCTTTACAAAAATCTAGAGCTGGGATAGATATATGCGATGCATGGTTGTCGAGCAGTAACAATCATTTTTGATCAACTGTTGGCTTTACTTGTTTTTTGAAGTGTTCTAGAAACAGTAAAAATTCTGCTTCCTGCATCCATCCACTAGCATTGCCAGCTCCAGCACAACCAACAGGACCTTCACGTATCATGTGGTCTTGGTATCGTTTCAACGGGAATACAAAAAAAAGAAGGTATGTGTCCTCCTTGAGCATTAATCGCAACAGCAACAGTTACTAGTCTCCCACGTTCTGCTGAGGTTACTGCCCCTACTTGTTTAATTTCTTTTTGAGCTAAAATCTTACTAGGTTTTTGGACAGTGGTCACCCCTGTCTCATCCATATTCCAGATATCTTTTGGCTCAAATTTATACCTATCCATTACGTAAGTAAAGTTATCAAAAAATTTACTCACATTACGTTCATTGAAAGTCGAGGCCCGCGACAGGCTTGTTGCTTGAGGACACCTCAAAGAGAGGCTCGGGTGTCGTTTTCAAAAACCCGCCAACCATTCCTTACCCGCCAATTGAGTATCTTGCCACTTTTCAGGAAATGTTTTTCCATTTTTTAACGCCAACTCATATGCCAGTTTACGTACTTCAGATGGAGATAACCCTAAATAAACTCCAGAGCACTCGATTAAATAGTCCTGTAGACATTTTTCCTCATAAATAGTGAAAACACGGTTGACGCAACGGTAACCTACAACTGCACTAGTATTTCCTGCTTTAATTTTTTTTCATGTATCTATATAATGTTACATGACAAACATTATATTTTTTTGCTAGGGATCCAATTGTTGTACCATCTTTGGAATTCTCTTCAGCCGCCTTTCGGTACACTTCCGTGTCAGTAGTTCCACGTGCGGTAGTTCTTATGCGTTGTCGCGGCATTCTGTTATAATAAATACACACATAACAATATTAAGTAAATAAATCAATACGGGGACAAAAGTAACATGTTACTTTTGTACCCATTGGGCTATGTTACTTTTGTACCCGACCACATTTTTGCAAAAACATGAAAGATAATCTTAAAACGGAACATGCGAGACAAAAACGAATTTAAACACTGTGTAATAAATCTAATCAAGAATTAATATGCAAATATTAAGATTGGTATCATCCTTTTAATACTACGAAAATATTAAAATAGAAAACGTCAAAAAGCTTACTTTTGAGTTGTGAAATCATATAGAGTCCTCTCACACAACCTAACAGCACGTGGCGCGCACGGCGACTGAATGCAAGTGAGGGGGCCGCTACCGGCTATCACCTTACGGCAGGGAACCAGTGTTTGGCTATTGGATAAACCTACAGAGCATTTGTTACTTTCGACCCGCCGTTACTTTTGTACCCGGTCTCCCCTATATGTAAATAATATTATTTTGATCAATATAATTGATATTTTATAAACAAAGAATAGAATAGAATATAATGATTTTTATTCAATATATACTTATTTTTTTATTTACCACTGGTTTGGAAAATACCTCTGGCCTGGAAAGAACCCGTAAGAAATCCAGCTGGAATATTATTGTTTAAACAATCACTTAAGAATAATTTTGTAAAAAAATTGAAATGAATTTTAATAGAACCAGCATGGTTGCGATCACCTTATTCCCAGGGATTATTTTCATTCATTCTAGGAATTGTGTTTATAATGTGAAGATATAACGAATAACGATACTTCATGTTTTCTTTACACATCGATTTTAACATCACACATTCATCGTCCGACCGGTCGTGGTTCCGTTTTGTCGCCCATTATTCTGACTTTCTGAGTATTTTTAGTTTTTAAACGCACAATGCGCAAGTGTCGAATGCTTTATGTTTCCATCCAAGTGAAAAAAAATCTTTAGCTCGTTTGCTTGTTCACACACTCTTGCATATGTAATGTTACTATTTTTTTTTTTCATATTAATATACTATGAAGACAATGCAAAAATTGTGACAATATTTTTAAATTGCTATTACAAACAATTTAAAAAAATTGCTAGAATATGCAGCCTTAACCTGTTTCACTATAACTGGATGTTTGTTGTTATATTGTGATTGCAGCTGCTAACAACAGTTATATAACATCCGGTTAGTTCCATAACAAAAGAGTAGTAACTACTAACTATTCAGAAGGATTTATATCCGTGTGAGTGGCTACTACTCTTTTGTTCTCCGGTTTAAAAGGAATAGATCGTGTAATAATATAAGAGTGACAAATCACTTTGTGCCCTTTTTGGTTTAACAGCGATGTTTGATGCATTTGTTAATTTATTTTAAAAAATAACATCAATCGCACGAACGAATACAATTAAAAAGAAATCTAAAATTATAAAGAGAAATAACAGTGTCTGAACACAAATAATGCTATGATTTAAAATAAACATCTGATTTCTAATTTAGAATACGTATGTATAACATGTAATTTATCAAAACATTGATAGATTTGCCGCTATTTTCCATATTAGAATAGAATCATCATCATCATCATTACAGCCCTTCACAAGTCCACTGCTGAACATAGGCCGCCCCCATAGAATGCCACAAAGCACGGTCCTGAGCCACCTGCATCCATCGACTTCCTGCATATCTTACCAGGTCGTCACTCCATCTAGTGGGGGGACGCCCTACACTTCGCCTGCCGGTACGAGGCTGCCACTCGAGAACCTTTCTTCCCCATCGGTTGTCGGTTCTTTGAGCTATATGGCCGGCCCATTGCCACTTCAGCTTACTAATCCGTTGGGCTATGTCGGTCACTCTAGTTCTACTGCGGATATCCTCATTTCTGAGTTTATCACGCAGAGAAACTCCGAGCATAGCCCTCTCCATAGCTCGCTGAGCGACCTTGAGCTTCCTCATCCGGCCAGCAGTGAAGGACCACGTCTCAGTTCCGTATGTCATCACTGGCAACACGCACTGGGTGTACAGTCTGGTTTTCAAGTTTTGAGGTATACCTGACGAGAAGATGTGCCGTAATTTCCCGAACGCTGCCCAACCGAGTTGAATCCGTCGATTGACCTCTCGGTCGAAGTTGGACTTACCTAGTCGGACTATTTGTCCCAGGTAAACATACTCGTCAACAACTTCGAGCTTAGTGTTCCCAACAACTACCGGCATAGGTGTGACATGGACATTAAACATGATCTTTGTTTTGTCCATGTTCATCTTAAGACCTATCCGTTGAGAAACACTATTGAGGTCATTGAGCATAGTGCTTAGGTCCTCCAGCGATTCTGCCATAAGGACTATATCGTCGGCAAATCGAAGGTGAGTGATGTAATCGCCATTGATGTTGATACCGTATCCTTTCCAGTCCAGAAGCTTGAAAACATCTTCCAATGCAGCGGTAAAGAGTTTCGGGGATATGACGTCACCCTGTCTTACACCTCTCTGCAATTGGATAGGTTTCGTACTCTGGTTCTGTACTCGGATAGCCATCGTAGCCGTACTGTACAAGCACTTCAACACTTCGATATACCGACAGTCAACTTGGCATCGCTGAAGGGACTGCAGCACCGCCCAAATTTCGACGGAATCAAAGGCTTTCTCATAGTCCACATACGCCAGACATAGTGGCAAATTGTACTCCTCGGACTTCTGTACAATTTGCCGAAGGGTATGTATGTGGTCTATGGTGCTAAAGCCTTTTCGGAAACCGGCTTGTTCGGGAGGCTGGAAGTCGTCAAGTCTGCGCGCGAGACGATTCGTAATGACTCTCGAAAACAGCACGTAGACGCGGCTCAGAAGGGAAATCGGTCTGTAGTTCTTCAAGAGAGCGTTGTCGCCTTTCTTGAAGAACAAGACAAACGCACTTCTGCTTCACGCCTCCGGTGTAATGCCACCATGGAGGACGGAATTAAAGAGCTTCTGAAGGACATCAAGTACCGGTTTTCCACCCGCTTTCAGAAGCTCCGCTGTAATTCCATCCTCGCCTGGGGCCTTGCCGTTTTTAAGGTGCTGGAGAGCCATTCTAATCTCGCTCAGACTGACGTCCGGGATATCATCGGAATAATGTCGTATAAGACTCGCTCTTGGATCGTTACTCACACTTGCGTGCGGCTCCAACGATGACGTGTACAGCTGCCCATAGAACCTCTCAATCTCACTCAAAATCTCAGGTGCCCCGGAAACGATGCTGCCACATTCTGTCTTCAGCTTTGACAGTTGGCGCTTTCTGGCAGACAGATCTCTGGCAAAGACTTTGGAGCCTTGGTTTCGCTCGATCGCTTCTTCAATACGAGCTGTATTGAAGTTGCGTAAGTCCCGCCGCATGCATTTGGAGATCTGTCTGTTCAGTTGCCTGTATGCTGTCAAATCTGTTGAAGAATGTAGCTTCATCTCCCGTCTAACAGCCATGAGATTAAGAGTGTGATCGGAGAGTTTTTGTGTTCTTCTGCGGCGGGTCTTGCAGAACTTAGCTCCGACCGCATGGACAGTTTCCACGAGCTTGTCATTCAAATCGTCCACTTCATTGCAGTCTTCTAGGCACTGAAAACGGTTTTGTAACTCGAGCTCGAGGGACTTTGGAATAGAGCACGAGGGGGACGGAGCGTTGACTTCATTAGACGAGACCTCTCCAACTTAACGTTTAGGTTCAGTGTGCCTCTAACCATTCGGTGATCGCTACCGGTTTTCACCCTCGCGATCACTGAGACATCACTGAACAGTTGTCGTCTGGTCGTCATAATGAAGTCAATCTCATTTTTTGTCGAACCGTCGGGGCTCGACCAGGTCCACTTCCTGTGGGGCCGCTTCTGGAAGAAAGAGTTCATCATAAAGAGTCCCTCTTTCTCCATGAAGTCAGCCAACTGCTGGCCCCTTGGGTTCCGTTGCCCTATTCCGAATTTCCCTACTTTCAGCTCACCGTTCTCTCTTGTGCCTAGTTTTGCATTGAAGTCTCCCATTAACACCGTATATTGGGTTTTGGAGGAATGCATGGCTCTAGAGATATCCTCATACATTTCCTCCACCTCCTGATCGGGGTGTGCCGAGGTTGGTGCGTAAACCTGTATGACCTTCAGCGAATACCGTTTGGTGATTCTGAGTATAAGGTACGCAACCCTCGTCGACACACTCTCAATCTTTACAACGTTGTTAACGAGAGACTTGTGGACGATAAATCCGACACCTCCTTGGGACAGATGGTCGCCCTCCCGGTAATAGAGCAAGTTGCCGGATTCGAGGATTACCGTGTCCTCCCCCTCTCTTCGGACTTCGGATAATCCTATAATATGCCAGCGTAACTTGTCTATCTCTTCTTCCAGCTCTACAATCTTCTCGTCAGTCCTCAGGGTGCGTGCGTTGTATGTTGCCAGGTCGAGTCGTCGTAGGTGGCAACCGAACCTCCACCGGAGATTCTTAGCACCCCCTGCCCCGCCGTTACCAT